GTATCCCACAGGTTTTGATAATTTGTGTCTTTGTTATCATCTTATTCCAAAAATTTGGTGATTTCCTTCTTCATCTTGTCTTTGACCCAGGTATTATTCACCCTGAGATTATTTAGCTTCCATTACTTTGAGAATGAAGGTTCCTGTTGCTGTTGAGTTCAACTTTTATTCTATGGTAGTCTGATACAAGGAATAATTACTACACTTTTAAATTTGCTGAGGTTAGACTTGTATCCTAGGATATGATCTGTTTTGGAGGATGAACTGTGGGCTGATGAGATGAATGTATATTCAGTTTTATTAGGGTGAAATGTTCTGTAGAGGTCTATAAATTCCATTTGTTCTAGGGTCAACTTTAAGTCTAATATTTCATTTAGTTTCTTCATGAAGGATCTATCTAAAACTGTCAAAGGGGTGTTAAAATCTCCAATTATTATAGTGCAAGAAGATATCAAGTTGTTCATACCTATTAGGGTCTGCTTTCTGAATTGAGGAGCATTCTGGTAGGGTATATAAATGTTCATTATCGAAATCTCTTGCTGGGTATTTCCCTTGACAAATATGTAGTGACCTTCCTTATCTTTCTTTATCTTTGTTGGTTGAAAGCCATTAAAATTGCAACCCTTGCTTTTTTCTGGTTTTCATTTCCCTGTCATACACATGTCCATCCCTTCACCCTGAGTCTATTTTTATTTTTTAAGGTAAGGGGAGATTCTTGTATACAACAGATATCTGGTCTGAGTTTATGTATCCAGTCAGTCAGCCTATGCCTCTTTGGAGGACAATTTAAACCATTCACATTAATTGAGAGAATTGGTAAGCCTGGTTGTGTTTTGGGGTGTCATGATTTTCAGATGTCCAGTGGACATTTTTAATCCTTTTACCACTGTGGATGTTGGGTTTTGTTCAAAAATTTCTGGGTGAGTTTACTTTGGAGGTAGAGCATTGCACTGGTCATTGTGGAGGATGGGTCTGGAGAGGTGGTTTAGTTATGGCAAATTTCTTCAACATGTCTATTTCATTAAAGTATTTGATTTCTCCATCACAAATGAAATTCAGTTTAACTAAATAGAGGATCCTGGGCTGGAAGTTGTTTTGTTTTAGGAGACTGAAGTTCGATGGCCATCTTCTGGCTTGAAACGTTTCAGCTGAGAGATCTGCAGTTATTCTGATATTTCTTCCTTTCTGGTGATGCTTTTCTTACATCTGGCTGCTTGCAGAATTTTCTCCTTCTTATTAACTTTGGTAAAGTTAATCACAATGTGTCTAGGAGATGCTTTATTTGGATTAAGTCATTCTGGGTGCCTATAGTCCCAGCTACTTGGAAGGATGAGGCAAGAGAATCGCTTAAGCCTAAACTCTATATGCCCAGTGATTTTTCTGTTGCAGTTGTCATTGTTGCTTAGTTGGCCTCGGTTGGGTTTGAACCTGTGAGCCTTGGTGTATGTGTCTGGCACTGTAAGCACTGTGCTACAGGTGTCGGGCCTGCTTTATTAAATATAACTCTATAGAGGCTCGGCACCTATAGCTCAGTGGCTAGGTGGCTGGCCACATACACCAGAGCTGGTGGGTTCAAATCCAGTCTGGGCCTGCCAGACAACAATGACAACTGCAACCAAAAAAATAGCTGGGCATTGTGGCGGGTACCTGTAGTCCCAGCTACTTGGGAGGCTGAGGCAAGAGAATTGCTTAAGCCCAAGAGTTTGAGGTTGCTGTGAGGTGTGATGCCATGGCACACTACCCTGGGTGACAGCTTGAGACTCTGTCCCCCTCCCCAATACATATATATATATATATATACACACAAATATATATTTGTTAAGAACAGGCTTTGTATGCATAAGTTCACGTAGTAACTGGAGCCAGACAGTGCATACATGATGCAGAACAAACAGAAAATCTGACGAGCAATTGCTTCTCTCTACTATAGTTTTCTTTTTCCTAGAAGATCAGTGGGGACTTCATTTCTCTAACTTTGTCTTTCTTGAGGTTGTGAAGGAGAAAACAGAAGATAGATTATTGGTTCTCACCTTTTTTCCCAAGTGTAACTATTTTTCTCTGTTCTGGTTGTTGGAATTTTTTTCTTAGACTCCCTAGCCTGGATTATGTGTTAAGAGAGCTTTTCAGAGAAAGATGATAGTTATAAGCTAGAGACTCAAACCCAGTTCTTTTTGTTTTGAGGTGGTCTTTTCCATGGTAAATTTAATAAACTCTACTTAAAATGTTTACTGTTGATTGTACATTTGTTATATTTGGTTGAACCCTGTGAAATTTCACAGACAGACCATTTCTTACCTATAAAAATGATGGTTTCAGACAGTATTGTCAAGAGTGGCCTGTGGTTCATAGTGAGCTGTGAAAATAATGTTTTCATTACTAAGCATACTTGTGCTGGCACACTCTCTGTGAACCTTTTTGGGACAGAGCAGGAACTCCTTGTGATCATTTCCTGGCATATAATATGTGCTCAATAATAAATAGCTGCTTTGAGATGAATTTAAAGGTGTTGTTGACCTATGAACCAGTAATCTTTATCTGAGGAGTAATATTTATCTCCTACATGCAGAGGTATTAGCACTGTATATACAGGATATGTTTTGTTTACAACTTGAAAATTAGATATTCTCAGAAAACGTAATAGCATGTCCAAGGGTGTGGAGCTGGCATTTGAGCATAGCTGTATAAGACTTATAGGGCTGTCTAGCTCCAAAGCCCATGTTCTTGCCACTTTACCTTACTGGTTCTTACTTTCTTTTCTTATGCTGAAGATACAATGAAAATCTCAGCCAGGATAGGTGAAAATATAAGATACAGTAGTTTTGAGAGGTGAAACTTAGGACCTCTGCAAATTTTAAATCTATAAATATTAACATAGCATATAACCTCACCTATAAAACATTATAAAGTAAAATTGAAAAGCAGAGTTGCTCCATTTGCATCCTTCTTAAAAGCTATTGCATATACAAAGAATGAAGAACGGTAACCAACATGTTAATTGCTAACATTTACTATTGAGTGCTTACTATGTGCCTGGCAGTATTCTAGTGCTTTACCATATGGTTTTTTTTAATTAAATGATAGCTGTATACATTAATGCAAACATGGGGTACAGTGTAGTGTTTTCATATACAATTTGAAATACTTTCATCAATCTGGTTAACATAGACTTCATGTCATTTGCTTAGTCATTGTGTCAAAACATTTATATTCTAGTTCTAGAAAAGTTCACTTGTACCCTTGTTAGACAGACCATATAGGTGATCTTTCCAGTCACCCTCCCACCACCCAGCCGCCCTTCTCCCCTCCCCATATTCTTGGGCTAGAATTAAGTTGTAGCTTTCATTTGAGAGCTATAAATTAGTTTCATAAAAGGGCTGTGTACATTGGATACTTTTTCTTCCACCATATAGTTTTAATTTCCATAATGATTTTATCATTCCTACTTTTGCAGATGAGGAAACTGAGGTATGAATGCTGAGAAACACCACTAAGAATACACTGCTCTTGAGGGCAGAGCCACAATCTCTGAGGGCTCTGAGGGCTGCTCTGAGGGCTGAGCCACCCCCAAGCTCAGCTGCTACCTTTTGTGGCATGTGCTGTGGTGGTTGGCTGGGGTTTTGTTATGCCATCCTGGCAATACTAAACCATTCGAAATTATGCTTCAGCAAAGTAAAATACTGTCACTGTTGTGGATCTTCAGGTCAGCATTGTGACTGCTAAATCCGTGAAGGCCAAGAGTCTACTGTATTTTGTGTTTTAGCTGTAGAACAGGTATTGGGTCATATCCTGTTGGTTTCTGACAGGAAGAATGCTAATCTTTGATCTGAACTGTTTCTATGTTGTATGTATTCCCTGTATGACACTGTGGGAGTACAGATTTGCCCTTACCCTGTAATGCCCATTTCTTACCTGCTATTTTTTCACTGTTGAAATTCTCATGCCTTAAAGTCCAGCCCAAAGATTTCCTCTGAAATTGCCAGTTGGTTTTTCCGAGATCCCAACTAGTACTTTGCATTTCTTCTGTGTATCAAGAACAGGTTTGTTAGGTTAGGAGTGTATTTTTTTTTTTTTCTGTTGTAGAGACAGAGTTTCACTTTATCGCCCATGGTAAAGTGCTGTGGCGTCACACAGCTCACAGCAACCTCCAACTCCTGGGCTTACTCAATTCCCTTGCCTCAGCCTCCTGAGTAGCTTGGACTACAGGCGCCCGCCACAATGCCTGGCTATTTTTTTGTTGCAGTTTGGCTGGGGCCGGGTTTGAACCCTCTACCCTTGTAATATGGGGCTGGTGCCCTGCCCACTGAGCCACAGGCGCTGCCCAGGTTAGGGATGTTTTGAAGGCAGATCCTATCCCATCTTACTACCCCATCTTACTGTTTTTGCCAGTGGTAGACAAAAATAGGAGTTTACAATGTTGTCTGGCTGTTTTCGGATGTGATCTGAGTGTCTTCATTACAGCAACTAAGTCCTGCTTCCACTGGCCATTTATCAAACCTTTTCCTGGTAGCATCTTGTCAGTGACCTGAACAACACAGTCTGCCTTCTCCCTAACGCTAGGGTTTGTTCCAGCCGTAGGTCATTCTTCCTTATCCTGTCCCCATTCTAGTCTATCATTTTGATGAATCGTTAGTGGGTCCCAAACAAGCTTCTCCTATTCAGGAATTTTGGAGTAAGACAAACCTGGGTTTGAATTATCAAAGTTTGATAGTATGACCTTGGTTTGCATCTCTGAACAAGGATTATGAGATTTGTTTTGAAAATTCAATATTCTAATAATATTTCAAGTGTTTACCACATGGCAAGTGTTAAATGAGTGGCAGTTACTCCTTTCTTGATTGGATTTTTTTTTTTCAGTTTTGGTCGGGGCAGGGCTTGAACCCGCCACCCCCAATATATGGGGCGGCGCCCTACTCCTTGAGCCACGGGGGCGGCACCCTACTCCTTGAGCCACAGGGGGCCGCCCCCTCTTGATTGGATTATTGTATGCTTTTTCTTTTCAGAGAGCCCGAGCCCAACACATTGTGCCCTGTACTATATCTCAGTTGCTTTCTGCCACCCTCGTTGATGAAGTGTTCAAAATTGGGAATGTTGAGATTTCACAGGTATGTAAAAGAATTTGTGGAAGGGGCACTTAATCATATGAAGAATGTGAGATAAGACTTAACTTCATGTAAAAATATATTAAAGTTGCTTTGGTTTCCAGGAAAATTAAACTTTTTTTTCTAACCTAGGTCATTATTGTGGGGATAATTAGACATACAGAGAAGGCTCCAACCAACATTGTTTACAAAATAGATGACATGACAGCTGCACCCATGGATGTTCGCCAGTGGGTTGACACAGATGTAAGCAACTGTTTTTGAATCACAGTGGAGTTACTTGGGGACTTCAGAGATGTTGTCTTAGTCTTTTTAAATTTTTTTCTTATTATAAAAATAGTACATAATCAAGACATCAAAGGCAGAAACCCTAAAATGAAAAATTAATAAACTCGATTACATGAAACTTTAAAACCTCCCAGACTTCCCAATATATCATAAAGTTAAAAAGCAAGTACCAGGAGACAATAGAATATAAATTCCATGAGAACAGGGATTTTTATCTTGGTTACCATTGTAGCCCCAGCACCTAAAACAGTCCCAGTCACATAGTAGTCCTTGAATAAATGTTTAAATGAATGGGAAAAATACTCAGAACATATTATAAACATTTAACATTTTAAGGCTGGGTGAGGTGGTTCATACCTGTAATCCCAGCACTCTGGGAGGCCGAGGTGGGTGAATTGCTTGAGCTCATGAGTTCGAGACCAGCCTGAGCAAGAGTGAGACCCCATCTCTAAAAAATAGCCAGGCATTGTGGCAGACACCTGTGGGCCCAAATACTTGGGAGTCTGAGGCAGGGAGATCTCTTGAGCCCAAGAGTTTGAAGTTGCTGTGAGCTATGACACCACAGCACTCTACCGGGGGCAAGAAAATGAGACTGTCTCAAAAGACCCTTACAAAGCAAAAGCACTGCACCTTAGAAAAATGGAGAAAGGAGATACACAGATAGTTTGTAAAAGGCAGTACAAATGGCAACAGCAATAACTAAAGCAGTTTAATAAGCATTCAGATTCTGTATTTATTTTTTTGAGACAGTCTCACTTTATTGCCCTCAGTAGAGTGCCATGGTGTCACAGCTCATGGCAACCTCAAACTCTTGGGCTTACACGAGTCTCTTGCCTCAGCCTCCCAAGTAGCTGGGACTATAGGCACCCACCACAACGCCCAGCCATTTCTTTGTTATTGTTGAAGTTGTCATTGTTTAGCAGGCCCAGGCCAGGTTGGAACCCACCAGCCTTGGTGTATGTGGCTGGTGATTTAACCACTGAGCTATGGGTGCCAAGCCAGGTTTTTTTTATTTTTAAATACATTACTTTCTAGGTGTTTTTGTTGTTGTTGTTGTTGTTGTTTGAGACAGAGCCTCAAGTTATTGCCCTAGGTAGAGTGCCGTAGTGTCACAACTCACAGTAACCGCCAACTCCTAGGCTTAAGTGGTTCTCTTGCCTCAGTCTCCCAAGTAGCTGGGACTACAGGCGCCTGCCACAATGCCTGGCTATTTTTTGGTTGTAGTTGTCATTGTTTGGCAGGCC